AGGCCGCAGAGGTCTTGGCAAGTGGAGGGGAAGGGGGGGGCAGGAGGTTTTAAACATGGGGAGATGTGCCCTCTCTGAGCAGCGGCAGAGAGGAGAGGGAGCAGAGATGGCCAAGTGGGAGTGCGCAAGCACCAGTCCTGCTTTCCAGTTACCCCAGTGGATGGTGAGTTGAACACCCCTGTGCTGCAGAAAGGGGAACGTTAGCAAAGCCCTTTGCCTCTGCTTGGTAGAACTGATCTCCATCGTCGCCTGTGAGAATTTCTAGAGAGTTTGTTGATCCAAAGCGCACGAGAGAATAGCAATTTAAAAGCGGTGTATGTATCCATTTGTAGGTTCAGCAGCTTTAATCTAGTTGTCGGTTGTAATCTTATAATGAAGATTGTATAAAAAAGGTGCTGTGGTCTGCAGAGTATGAGAATGTTCATGCATTAAGAGGTAAAGAGTGTTTTCAGGTTTCTCCCTTCTCTCTTAAATGTAAATTACCATAATTTTATTAAATCCTTAGGTGCATTAATGCTTGGTAAATTATATAGCCCAAGATGGCATTTGGCATACAACATACCATTTAATTATTTTCAATGTGTATTTTGTGTACTGTGCAGTATTTGTCACAAATATCAGACGCTTGTCAAAACCTAAAGCTTTAAATGGTTAGCTGTCCTGAAACCTTTGTCCACGAAAGAAAGTGTCCTTTTTTTCTTACAGGCTCCTGTAAATAGCCTTATTTTAATGAACGATTTTCGATTGCTTCATGATTGTGTTTAGTTTTGTAAGTGAAGGATCAATTAGTGGGCATTTCAAAGAAAAAAAAGTGAAATGTTAGGCAACCAACCCCATGGTGAGCTAAAATACAGTATTGCAGAAACACTTTGATACTTCATATATACTAATGTTAACTTCCAAAAATAGTGAATTTTGGGCAAGTTTTTAATGAAGGTTTTAAATATTAATGAAACATTGATTTGACTTAGTAGATTATTGTCTTCGATCTGCATTCTCAGGTTATGCTGTTCATGTTATTCTAATGACAGAACAGCTTGTTTAATGCAGTATAAAGCTGGCATTCAAGGTTGCATAAGCAAACAGCATGTTTTACTGTATACGACAGTAAGACTAGATTGTAGTTTTGGTATTACATTAAAATATATCAAATACGCTGTTCATCTATGAAAGTAGGGAATATACACTATATAAACTTCTTAGCATTTTTACAGAAATGAAGAACTAATTTACTTCTTACAATTTACTTATCCAGGAGCGGTTTTCATTTTTCAATTGTGTATTGTATTTGCATAATTCTATCTGAAGGTTTACACTTTGAAGAATGGAAAAACAAGTCAGTCTGGTGGGCTGTGCCCCAGAGGTTTAATGTTGGTTATATTTTGCAACTTTCTACAACAAAATGTTGTAAGTGTACTTTTCACATTTTTTACTTGTCAATACAAGTAAAGTCACAAATGAAACCTTTTCTAAGTGTTTGATTTCTCAAAAAAAACTTACTGAACATTCTGTGAAGATATCAAACTCCTGATATCATCAGTATAGAAGTATATAGGAGTACTGTTCCTAGCCACTTGCAACAAAGAGTCCATTGTACTTGGTAAATGTGATCCTAATCAGGAGAATTTCACTCAGCAAAGTGCTGTCTGTACCTGTTATGTATTGTTTGTCACCTATTTTTTGCTTGTATTGCCAAGCGAGCCTTTTGGAATTTGTGCTCATTATTTTGAGAGGAAAATTTGGGTGGCTTGTGTTGTGATTTGTACTGAAAAACAGTTTTTTCTATAAAGGTCTGGTAGAGGACAGGACGGACACAAAATGTGTACTGTAGTTTTTACATTGTCGGTGTGCTTCTTGTTGCTTTGTACTGAGATTCGCATTTAAGAGCTGTTTTAAGGTTTTAGAATCACAGGAAAAAGTATTAATATTGTCTGTTATGTTCAGTATGTTCTGCTTTTGGTTTGTAATGCAACCACTATTGAAAGACCAGCACATATATTCCAAGCAATGGAAGACATTATTTAAAAAAAAAGGTTTGCCCAAACAAAGCAGTGAGAGTTCCCATGCAACCTTTTCATAATCTTAGGAAAGTCCCCTCATTCTTTAAGGCAAAACCAAAACAACTCGTGAAGAAAAATCCAGGCAGTTTCAATGTCATCATCATCTCTTCTGCTAGCTGAAGGAAAAAAAATGTAGTTTCACTTCTGCCTTTCCACCTTATTCCACCACGGGCATTGATACCTCCTGCCACAGACCAGCGAGTCCGACTGGGGGCTAACTGTGCTCCACAGTAACATTTCGCAATTCATTTTATTTTCTGTTTCAATATCACTTCCCACACCTTTTGTTCGTTCCTCCGTTTCGAAAGAAGCTAAGCTTTCATTGTGACACTGTCCACAGAAATTCTCTCCAAAGTCTTGAAGCACTGCTCGTGGTCTCGTCCGGAATGCCCCATGAAGAGGCTGAGAGGGTCCCATTGACGGCTCTGCCTCTGATCCCTCCCCGCTGCAGGTCCTCTGGATCGTTTGATTGTTCGTTTTTTGTGGGAAGAGACTTCATCTGTGGCAGTAGAATGAAACGGGACTTTGTGAGGATGGTACAGTAGGTGGCCTCTTTCTTGGGGCTGTTCCTGCTCTGGTCAAAAGCAGCTGTGCCGAGAATCCCCGAAGAAACTTTTCTTATCTTTATTGAACACATGAAAGAAAAATAAAGAATGAGGGCTGTTCAGCATGCGTTCGGGAATGCTCAGATGTACGGATCAGGACTTCACATTTAACATATTCTTTATGAAGAAGAAGAAGATCAGGCTCCTTGTTTACTGGCCTAGTCTAGGTTGTGAGTGCAGGTCTCCATTTCCTTGAGAGAAGGGCCAGCTGCTGACTGGAGCTTCTCCTGACCAGCTCCTCTGTCCTTATGGGTTCGAATGGGAGATTATAACAATGTATTAAACCATCACCATCATTTTTAATTTTCAAAAGCTTTGACCTGTGAACACTGCTAATTTTATTAGTTACACTGTGCAGTTGGTACACAAACACTACCTGTCCAGCCTTTCCCCTGTCTTATATTAAAATACGATTTCTTAGAGCTTAATACTACTTTCTAGAAAAAGCCATCAATAATAAAACAGTTAAAACTAGAGAAAACGTACCTTTCATTCAAAGCTCCTTTCTGAATAAATTAGACTAATTAAAGCTTCTGAACAGTAGAACCTTCTCGGAGTCCAAGATTTAGATAAAGAGCCCATTGTAAAGCACTGGAGTTTCTTAAAGTAGCAAAAAGCTGTCATAAGCATTGGCATTCAAAGTAGAACACGGTAGATAATCAGTTAAAACCTGAAAATTACATCTGCAGGTTAAAAAGACTGCCCCATTAAGGCTGAAGCACGTGATCTCCCAATTGGGTGAATGCTGGGAGGAGAGGTGATTTGGGCAGTTATAAAGAGTGTTTTGACTCCCAGTAAACAATTGGCAATTTGTGACAAATTCGGAAACAAATGTGCACAAATCGCACTTGGATTAGATACAGGCAGTATAAATGACCTGGGCCTGAAGTTTACCTTCACTGGACATGTTAAAGAAAGAAACAGCCAGCCAGAACAATGAACCTGCAGTTAAAAAGGTAAGGGAATGACCGGAATTCCTATTAAAAGATCTTTCTCTGTGACCTGGGCTTCTTGGCACAGATAGGCTGCCACACCATCTGCTCTTTCAGCAGACAAAATAAGGTGAGGAGTCTTTTTTTCTTCAGTTTGTTACAAAGGCCGGTTTTTAACCAGAGTACTTTGCAGAAGTAGGCTTCAATCTGTAGCAGCTTCAGGCTCTTAAACATTTTGTAGATGTCATTTGGAGATTGTAAATCCAAAGTCATTTACCATCTTCACTTAAAATATGTATTCATATTTGGTTGTTTGCAGAGCATGACAGAGACTGAGATGATTCACGGTGTGTTAAATTCAGCAGCTGTGATTCTGTTCCTCAATCTTAGCTCTGTTTAATCACTGTCCATTACACTGCAAGGTGCTTTATTTTTAATGCACATTTAAAATCCTTGTCATTTCTTGGAATCATTCATTGCTGACATTATGTAAGACTCGAGTGAATGATGAGGCCACAGATGACTTTGGGTTTCTTTTACTGAATATTGTCTGAAGGCATGTACATCATAGTCTCTCAATGGTCGGTTTCCGAAGGTTGTTTTTACATTACCTAGACAGGTTTTTAATGCTCAATGTAATTGCCTAAAAGGAAAGCAAGGTGAGTATCTGAAATACAGCATTAACAAAGTCACAATAGGTCATGATGGTATTAACTGATACTACGTAAGCCAGTAATTACTTTTTTAGTATTGATTTTGTATAGCAAGCAGAGCATGAATTTTGAGATCTTTCTCTACAACCCTAAACAATTTAACAGATACTGTGTACACCTTGAAAGATTGCACTGGTTAAACTTGCTGCTGGCAACAAGAACGGTGATAATTATTGTTTGGTCTGTACTGACCACTTCCATACAAGCTTCCTTTGTTTGCCCAGGGATATATAAAAGGCACTCTTGGATGCTCAGCTGACAGCTTTTTTTTAAGACAATGTCAGGCACCTATTGTTCTGGTCCTGAGGTGCAGGATTTTTAAAATTCCAGTGATGCAAGGAAGTTTCTAGAAATGAGTGATGCAATTAGCAAAGCTCTTTTGAGAAATGTCAAGACCTGCATCTCCAGTGAATTTGAATTGTAGTGCAATAAAGCTTTATCCATTTCAGTGAAACAATGCCCCTTGCTAAATTGTTTCACCACACTGAGTTAACTGTTAAAGCGTTTCCCTTTCACTTCGTTGAAGGCATGTTGCTTGTAACTTGTTTACAGGACTCCGTGCTTAAACTTGTGAGTTCTGGTTAGTGAATTTTGGACCACTTCTTTCTGTATTCCTAAAGGCCAGCCAATCAGGACGTCTCTGATGACAGCCATTTTTCCTCTCTTTCTTCCTTCCTCTGGCCTTCGCAGCAGATCCAGTTTGCTGACCAGAAGCAGGAGTTCAACAAGCGACCCACCAAGATCGGGCGCCGGTCCCTGTCTCGCTCCATCTCGCAGTCCTCCACGGACAGCTACAGCTCAGGTTCGTCCTCAACGCCATATCGCGGATATACACTGCATATCGCCAACGGGCCACAGATCTCAGCCGTTTCTGGGATGCAGCCTATAACGGAAAAGTGAAATATTAATTGTTCCACGAAGCACAGCTTTACTGCCATTTATATAATTGGGAAAACCAAAACTGAGCAAAATTGGATGTCATGTACTGTAGTTATTGAAGGAAAGCTTGTTTACTGTGAAACGACCTCACATTCTCTCAAACATTCTACAAGCTCATGGTGGCCTTCAGAAATTTAGAGACGTTGCTGCTTTTTGAAAAGAAAATTAAATTTTCATTCTTGTCTTCTACACAGCAGATAAGATTTCTTACATTATCTGGTACAAGGAAAAGTGTTTCTACTCTATTCTCTATTTACATGCAGAAATATGGACTTGGACTTGAATATGGACTTCTATATAACATTGTCATCCATAACATTTCCAGAGAGTGGATAAAAGAAATTCTGTTCAAGGAATTAAGAAACAGTAAATAGGTCTTTCGACTGTTGGAGCAAACAATGTTCTATATCGATCGCACTCATATTTACACAGGTAATTCCTTTAAGATAATTCAAGCTCTAGTGGCCAAAAATTGGAAACTGTCCTACCTCCAACCTGTGACACCTTTATTCATAAGAAACCCTGAGCTGTTGTGGGAATTCATGCTAATTTGAGCCAAACTGGCTGACTAAACGTTGACCACACATTGTTTTTAATTGAGACGTACTTTGGGGAAAAAAGAACTGCATAGTTAAGAACATAAGCCATAAGTATTCTCTACAGTATGATTAACGTAGGTACCAGTAGTATGTTCTTAATGCAAATGGAAAGTCCTGGATTTTGTAATCGCTCGCAAGTTGGATTTTAATAATTTAAAGAGCAGTGTACTGCATAACCTTTTTTGCTTTTCAGAAAATGTAAAAAAAGAACAACAACAAAAACATACTTAATGATCTACTGGCTTTCCAAAATTGTATTTACATTTTATTTAGTATTTTTTATTAATATTTAAAGTTTCACCAAAATCAAGCTGATGACTGGTTGGCACCATAATAATCAAGAAGCATTTGACATCCAAGTGGTAAATGTGGCACTTCATCCAGTTACCGTAACTGTGGGTATTTGGTTTTATAAATGCAATTGTAAATAAAATTGCTCCTGAGGTTTTAGGCATTGCTGTTGCTCATAATAGGCTTATTATCAAGCTGTTTGCTGTAACAAATCTACATAAAGAGATTGGCATAACTGTGAAATTACTTCTGTGTAATTGAAGGTTTTTGTTTGTTTATTTGACTTGGTTTCCTATCGGGATGTATTGAACGAGAATGGGAAGGAATGCGCTTTAAGAGAAAAACACATCTCTGAAGCTGAGAGAAAGAAAAAACTCATTGGGTACATTAAGTCTTAAATTTCAATAAAAAGAAACTAGCCACCATTTCTCGTTCTTTGTCAAATTTAGTGTAGCAAAGCAGTGTAGTGCACAGTCAAACTTTCCTTATGAAAGTCCAGCGCACTTTAGTAACCTGCAATCCAATGTAATAGGATTGTCCTTAAGCAGGTTTACAACAAAAGTGAAATTGTGGCAGTGTATTCCCACAGAGCTGCTGTGAACAGCTTACCCTTTAATAGAGTGGCCGGTGTGGCCTACAGCCAGTCTCCTTTCGCTGTTCAACAATGCTCTGTTTTTTTTTCTGATTCATTTAAAGAGTCCTAAAATATTTTGGACAGAAAAAGATCAATTATGTTCCGGGCTGACCATGTGTTTTTCCTTCTGATCATGTGTTTCACCAGAGACCTATATTGGCTGTATTGCTTCTCTGCAGCAGAGGAAGCTGATTGATGGGTAGTGGATTGGTTTAATGATAGCCAGACTCTAGAGTTACAATGTCTGCAGTTGAAGAGCAAGAAGTTGAAAGTGTTCAGTGGGTCTTGCATTGTACTTCTAAGTTACTTTAACACATGACTGAGTACTCATTCAAAGTTCCCTGTACCGTAAAAGCACACATGCAAGACCGTATTGCAGGGCCTTGGGATTAAAGGATTTGTTGAACATTCATTTTTAATTAAAATGAAAAGGCTGAGTCATTAAAGTTAAATTCTACTTTAATCACTGGTCTAAGCCTTTCTGAAACACGAAGATAGGAACATTTGGGGTTTTTTTTTTGCATTTTACTGGCGTGTGAAATGTTTGTAAAAAGCATGGCAGTGTTCTGGTTGACTGAAAAAGCAATGGGAACTTGGGAATGATTTTACTCCTGAGTGGACTGTATGATGCATATACAACAGTACAATTGCTTAGTAGAGAATGGTAATACACCAGGTTATCAGTCAGAGTACGTAGTACGAGTTCAGTGCTACTGTATGCTGTGTCAGTCCTACTCCTGTGTGTTACACAGTGGTTGTTAAAAGAAGCATTCTTCTTGCAGCTGCCTCCTACACAGACAGCTCCGACGATGAGACCTCCCCTAGAGACAAACAGCAGAAAAACTCCAAGGGCAGCAGCGACTTCTGCATCAAGAACATCAAGCAGGCAGACTTTGGGCGCAGGGAGATTGAGATAGCCGAACAAGGTAAGAGGAAGAGCTGGAGAAATTAGCCGAATTTCAGCTGCATTGGATCAACGTACAGTTTGTTAGTTTTTACAGATTCCTTGCTATATGGCAGTTACACAGGTACTTATTGAGACTTTACCTGTGTTTTTTTTTCCACACTTTAAGTTTTTCACTCTTATACCACAGCCAAATCATTAATTTCTCTTGAGATTACAAGACGTCAGCGTTCAGCCAGTTGCAGAGATACACTGGCACTCTGCAGGCCTGTCCTTAAGCAGATCCTGAGGGCATCTGGACACTTGTATTCAAACAGATTTCTCTACAATTCTAATGATTTTTGTCCATATTTATCATTCCAAAGTTTACTTGACATTTCAGTATAAATCTAAAAGGAAAATTGCACCGGACCGGTCCTGAAATAGAAAGTTCGTTTTATTTTCCAGAAAATATAAAACATTTTTTCTGGTCAGATGTGGAATTTGACACCACAGTGGGCTTTAAACAGTGAACAGTAGGTTATTATTAATCTTTTTGCTACTGGGTTTTTCTGGTAAGTACATGAATATCTGCATATCGGACCAGTGCCTCTTACTGGATTGTCTTTCAGATGAGACAAAAAAGTTTGTTAAATACTTTGAAAATTTAAATGAGGAAACCGTGCTGACTTTTAATCCTACAGTAGCAGCAGGCTTTTCCCAAAGCACAGCATATAATAGTTCCTAGTCATTGGAAAATTGTACTGTTGGCCATAAAGTGAAGTAATTGGAACAGTGGCTCAGGGTATGAAGGCAGGTCTTCTCGGGCCCTGGTGTTTTCTAGTCTGCAGTTTGGGTGGTTGAATTGATATAGTATTCCTGTGATTCAGATTCATCAAAGCTTTTTATTAAAGGCCACCAAATTCTTTGTAAAAATGAATGCAGCATCTAGAGATGAAGACGAACACCTGTTGCTTCAGGTTTGCAAAGGGTCTGTGTCGCACTCTGCAAAAACTTGGTTTGACCAGTTACGTCTTGATACATAAGCCAAATGGGGTCCATGTGGCACAGCATCTGTATGGGACCCGCCGCAGGGCCCTGTCAGTTAACAGCTGCCTGTCCTGCCTGTACAGAGATGCCTGCGCTGATGGCTCTGAGGAAGAGGGCTCAGGGAGAGAAGCCTTTGGCTGGGGCCAAGATCGTGGGCTGCACTCACATCACCGCCCAGACTGCGGTGAGTACGCACGGGCACTGCCTGCACCTCCTCTGCCACAAGTGTCTTTTCAACCCCAGAAGACGCCAAGAAGGGAGAAGCGCACGCATACAGCAAACTGCTGCAAGTGTCAGACACTTGAAGAGAATACTTGAACAACACACGACACTAGAACACATTCCTTCTTCAACATGCATCTGTGCAGCTTGGGGTCAAAGGAGAAGTGTAAAGTTTTAATTACGCAGCTCATTGCACAAGCAAATAGTTGCCTAGATGTTTTTTACGTAGTGCACTCCATTTATAATATCAATGGTAGAAAAATCAGTTTGCATACAGTATATAAAGTATATTCCAGTATTCACCATGCTAAATATTCCACTTAATTCAGGGCAAACTGACGGTATGTAATACAAAATGTAATGTGGTGGGACATAATGAGCCTATAAAGAGGCTTTGATTTAGAATTCATATACTTCTCGTGTCATACAGCTCATAGCACGTGGCACGTATAATCCCTGTGCAGAGAAAACAAGTTGTTCTCTTCATGACAAGGTCAATATGGCAGGGAAAGGGTGGTTTCTAGGAGGAACGCTGTACAAAATAGTCTTTACTGTTAAACAGCCTGTGTTGTCATTTTACATTTTTTATGCTGCAGAAGTCAGTGTAATGGGCTTTCAGTTTGTTGCAGTGTGAGGGATTTATGCATCTTTTGATAGTCACCGTAAAGAGGTAAAGGTCTTAGTACAATTGTAACACTCTGTACGTATTAATAGCCTAGAAGTAACGCACCAGATAAATTGTGCTTTTGGTAGTAGTACCAGCAGCAAGGTGCTCAGTGAGTTTGTTGGTAAGTTTTTGTTTCCTGCCTAATGCATTTGAAGTCTTAATTTTATTATGGTAAACGAGACATTTCTTAATTGAATAAAAAAGCAAGTTGTATGAAACATAATGGTCAGCTTATTCCAATTCTACTTGTAAAAATGAACGGTTTTTAAAAATCAAACCAGCCAGAACAGAGGTGACTCTTGCATTCAGAGGGTGCTGTTTTTTAAACATGCTGTCAAGGAGTGCTGGTCATGAGCGAGAACTGTTATTCCTGATTTGGTTTGTCCAGTATGGTTGGGCTCCTGATTCTGAGATTCCTCTCTCCCCTGTCCGTGGTCCTCCATGTCATTTCCCTGTCACGTGTGCCCCCAGGTCTTGATGGAGACCCTGTCTGCTCTGGGCGCACAGTGCAGGTGGGCCGCCTGTAATATCTACTCCACTCAGAACGAGGTGGCCGCTGCCCTGGCCGAGGGAGGTAGGTGTTACTTGCACATGAAAATGACCGTTTCCCAGATATGAAACCTTCCTGACAGCACTAGTTGCCAGTTTGTGTTTGTGGATTTCAGAAGCTAATCGAGGCTGGGCGTGTTCAATGATGTGGTGGGATACTTCTCCAGAATCCAGCTTGCTGCTGGAAGAGGTGTGGGTGAACTAGCAGTTGGCTCTCTGGACCAGAATGTCACATCCATTACCCCAGTATGACCAGGGACACTGAGGTGTGCTGCCTTTCAGCTGAGATGCTAAACTGAGTTCTTCTCACCTTGGTCATTAAAGACTTCATGACTCCATTGATAAAAGTAGGCTGTTAACCCCAGTGTCTCAGTGTGAGCTCACTAACGTTCCCCCTTAATTCAGTTGGTGAAACAGTTACTTGGTTCTCTATCTGCTGTCCTATGAGGTGGGATATGATGGCTACCCTGGGTCACCCAGGTGGGCTCTGTGGTGGGTGAAGTGAGTATCCTCCTATATGTAAAGTGCTTTGGAATTATCTAGGATGAAAAGCCAACATAATTTCAAGAAATCAATATAATTTTCTACAGACGAAAGCCCGTACTAGTGTTCTTCTTTTAATCAGGACACAAAAGTCTGGATTTTTTTTTGCACAACTTGACTTGCATTGTCAGATTTTTCGGGTAATTTCAGATTTGGCTTTTATTTTTCCATTACGTTTTTTTTTTTCGGTTTGGGTGGAGACGGAGGTGGCCCCATGTGTGTCGTTGACTTTGCCTTTCCTTTTTCGGAATAGGCTTGGCTGTATCTATGGGGCTCGGTGGAGATAGCTGCAGCAGCACACTCTGAAAGATGTAGCAAATCTACCAACTGATGCATGTTTTCCTGGCTTAAAAATAGATTTAGCTGAACAGCAAAGCATTGTGTGAATCAATCTCTTCATATATTTTGGCAGGGTTTGCCGTGTTTGCCTGGAAAGGGGAGTCGGAAGATGATTTCTGGTGGTGTATTGATCGCTGTGTCAATGTGGAAGGGTGGCAGCCTAACATGGTAAGCCTGTTAATTGCTGTGGGACCTTTTAGTGGAGCACTGCACATTCCCATTGTTATTGTGATTTAAATCATTACCACGGGAAATGATCCTGTGGCAATCCTGATACCTCCCAGAATTATTTTTGTATTAAGACCTTGATAGTTTAAACAGGCCATAAAACCAAATTTTATTAAAATATCCAATTTCATTTTTTTAGTTAAAGGATACCTTAAATTATAGTTCAGGAGAAGAGAAAAATGATCCTTTGTTGATTTAGAAAACTTTTCAGTTTAATACACAGTAAATCTTAAAGTGCTCAAATACATCTAGAAGTGCTCAAAAGGTGCTACCATTTTAACATTTTTGTGTATGTGAAACATTTCTCAATCCAAAAAGATTTGTTTCACAAATGACATAACGTTCATAAGATGATAGATAAGCAAATAACCTGTCATGACATTTGTTTTAGTATTATTCACAGTGCTTGGTACAATGTGATGCTAAAACAAATGTAATGTGCTTATGTGCATGTCCATATATAGCATAATGGATGTGATTATAGTGTCTTGTGCAGCAGTTATGAAGGGATATTGAAACCATTATGCAGAGACTAATTAAGTCATTTTACCTCCCAAAAGCACTGTTGAAACATTCCGAATTCAAGAACAGCTGAGCTTTCTAATGCATTTTAGTGAGATTTAAATAGACCAAATTTAAGTTATAAGTGTTACAGGGGAAAAAAGGTTGTGAACATCAGAGAGTTTATAATTGTGGGGCAATGACAACCAGTGTCCATGTCTATATGAATTTCAAAATGCAGATTTACAGAATTTAGCCATTACTTGCATCATGTTCTTGTGGCTTGTAGTGGCCTATCAGGTTGACCTGTAAGTAACGTAATAATAATAATAATTGCTTACACTTATATAGCGCTTTTCTGGACACTCCACTCAAAGCGCTTTCCCCTCCACCACCACCAATGTGCAGCATCCACCTGGAAGATGCAACGGCAGCCATAGTGCGCCAGAACGCTCACCACACATCAGCTATCAGTGGGGAGGTGAATGAAGTGGGGGATGAAGCCAATTCATAGAGGGGGATTATTAGGAGGCCATGATTGGTAAGGGCCAATGTGGAAATTTGGCCAGGACCAGGGTTACACCCCTACTCTTTTCGAGAAACCCCCTGGAATTTTTAATGACCACAGAGAGTCAGGACCTCAGTTTTACGTCTCATCCGAAGGACGGCGCCTGTTTACAGTATAGTGTCCCCATCACTATACTGGGGCATTAGGACCCACATGGACCACAGGGTGAGTGCCCCCTGCTGGCCCCACTAGCACCTCTTCCAGCAGCAACCTTAGTTTTTCCCAGGAGGTCTCCCATCCAGGTACTGACCAGGCTCACACGTGCTTAGCTTCAGTGGGTTGCCAGTTGTGAGTTGCAGGGTGATATGGCTGCTAACGTACACTCCAAAATGCTATGAAAAGCCCTCTACAAAGTTCCTCACCATTTTTCCAGCAGTGTAGTCCTGATCAGGGTAGTGCTGTGTAGGATGGGACTGTTCTAGCAGATCCAAAACTTTTCAGCAGATTTGAGATTTGTGGGTTATTGTAACTCTGAAAGTGATTACATTCTCTCTCGGGCCCAATTGTGTGAATAGTAATGAATAGCCTAATGTTTTAGTTTAATTCATCTTGCATTTCAAACCTTTAAGGATTTCCAAGTTTGTGTCAGTGTGTTGTTGTGACTGAAAATGCACGGAAAGCCAGTGGCAGGAGACGTTTCTGGTGTTGAAGTGTCTTGGCAGTTCTAATTTCAGTAAAGAATTAGGGGACTATGCAGATTGGAATTCCAAATAATACCAGTGGCTATGAACAGCTTTGGCAAATTCATTTGACTGCCCTAATCCCAAATACTTCTGTGCTCTGAACTATTTTAAGAGATGAAAGAGAGCCTTGTTTGCGATAACTCTCATGAAAGGAGTACACCTGAGGTGAGGTTTTGAAGCAAGGCACACATTTCCATCTGGATCTTTTAATGCTGTTGGCAAGAAATTGATTCATCTTAGAACCTTTTTATAGGTAGCATTATTATTTGTCAGACAGCACAAGCTTTGTCTACAAGCTCACACAGGACTTTAATGTTTAAAATAAAGAGTAGTCATCTGGAGTTTGGTAAGACAGAGACTTGATTTTCTTTGCCCCTGACAGTTAGCCCAGAAGAGAATGTACAATGTGGTAAAAATGTAAGCACACCCCCTTAAGATTTTACAGTTCAACACATTTAGACATATGTGACCAACACTTAGTCCTTGCCAAGTCCTAATTGTAGAGAAAACTAACTTCATTTAATGAAAATTCTATTTTGTCATTATTTTAAAAAATCAGCCTGCATTCAATATCTTTGTGTGCAAAACATAAGTGCACCCTTAGCTCCACCCCTTCAGTAATGAGGGTATGTGGAACCAGGTGCACCAAAACATGTGCAAATGATAAGATGATCATCAGAAAGGGATTCCAGAAAGTGATTCCATCAGATACTTTGTCAGTTTGATCTGACACTCAGTACAAAGCAAGTACTCAGGTTTGTGGTAACAAATCATACCCAGATCAAAAGAAATTTGTAACACTTTTAGAGAAAGAATTGTTGCTGCTTATCGTTCTGAGAAGGATTACAAAACTGTTTCCAACCAATATGAAATTCATCATTCCATGGTAAGAAAGATCATGTACAAATGGAGAAAACTTTAAATCATTGCCAATCTACCGGTGACTGGATGTTCTACCAAATTTTCTCCAAGATCTGACCAAATAATTTTCATCTGAAAAAATAAGTTTCATAGAACCCCAGCATTGCATCTAGGGAGCAACAGGCCACTCATGCTTGTGGTATATTTTGCCATTTATGAGTCTATAATTGGTAAAAAATTGACTGAAAGAAGACTGCCTAATAAGAATATTGCTGCAGAACTTAAGTTTGCAAAATTACTCTTCAATGAAAAACGAGACATCTGGAACAATGTGCTCGGGACCGATGAGTCAAAAGTGACGTTGTTTAGCCAGTGTGGAAAGTGTAATGTTTGTCAAAAAACAAAACATTCTTCTGCGCTTGACCAGTAGAACTTCAAACCAACAATCAAGCACGTTGGTGGTGGGGAGGTGATGATTTGGGCTTCTTGATTTGGACAGTGATCCATAAGGCACAAGCAGATCTCAGACCACAGAATGGCTCCAAAAGATTACATTTGGGACTTTGGAATGCCAAGACAAAGTTCAGACCTAAAACCTAAAGAGATGCAATGAGAGAGCTGTGTATACAAGAAAATCCCCCAACATCACAGAGCTGAAGTTGAGTTCTCCAAGGAAGAGTGGGACAGAATTCCTCCCAGGCGATGTGAGAGACCAATCGTCTCTTACAAGAATTACTTAATTCAAGTTCCTACCACTAAAAGGGGTGCCACAAGTTACTGGTGTACTTTTTCTCACAAAGATATGCTGGCTAAATAAAAAAGAAATAATGATTAAAAATTTGTTGTGTTGTCAACTGAGGTTTTATCTACTGTTAGGACATGATGAGGCCTAGATGATGGTCAAATGTGTCTTAATATGTTAAACCATAAAATCTTCTACTTTGTCACCACACTGTAGAATACTGTGGGTCCTACATTCTTTTTTGTCAAAGAATGTAAGATTTATCAATGCTGTGTTTAGGGGCAAAGTGGGACCTAAGATTCAAAGTCAGTGGAAAAGAGTTCTAAACACACTTAATTTTCAGGTAATGTTTCTGGTCAGGGAAAACACAAGAACAGCTACAGGGGGCTTTTGAGGGAAAGTAGAATGCTGCTAGAGATAAGTCAAGGTGCGTGTTTGTGCTGAGTAAAGAAAGGTATGTGAAGACAGGAGAAAATGCCGAGTTGAACTGTTTAACATGTTTCTTCTAGATCCTGGATGATGGAGGTGACCTCACTCACTGGATATATAAAAAGTATCCCAACATGTTCAAGAAAATCAAGGGAATTGTGGAAGAAAGTGTCACTGGAGTTCACAGGTGAAGTATGCTGTTTGAGAAGGGAGGGGGGGTTAAATTATTAATTTAATTAATTTACAGAACATCTGAATTTCGAAGAAAACTTGTAGGTAGATTAGATTCCATTGAGAGCACAGCTCCATCTAGTGGTTAGTTGATTAATTATGTTGATGAACGTAAATGAATTTAAGACATAATGTTATCTAGTTTCTTTGATTAAACAATCACTTACTGTGCAGCAGAACTGTCCAACTATATCCTCTGTTTGGTTGTAGGTTGATCTTATGTTCAAATGATTTGACATTGTTTATATTGAATTCAGTTGGATTCAATGCAACTAATTCTCTATCCCTGGTAGAGTCTTGTCAGGCTCTGGCTGCTACAGTCTGGCTCAACTTTGCTTATAAACCCCTACCTTGTTGACTCTTTGAATATGAATTAATCTCTGGAGTTCATGTTACTCTTTGTTTTTTTGCTGACTTTGTATACCTGGAAACATTAAGTATGTTTTGGAACAGTCCCGTTAAGAAAATTTAAATGTTGTGGCTTCTTTAATGTTGTTTAATTGAGATACAGATTCTGCCAGAAAATTGTTTAGTCTTATTGAGTGAGTATTCTGTGGTTCCATTCTGTTAGCATGGTAAAGAGGCTAAACAGTACCATCATCTGAGATCCCTTCAGAGTGTAGAACAGCAGACATCTGTGAAGAACCCCAGAGAACTGCTGCAAAATAAAAGCAAGGACACTTAAATATAATACTGATTATTCTCCTGAAAGACTTAAACATATAAGACCATAACATAATTTTATTAAAAAGTTTAGTTGAATTTAAATAGTTGTATTTTGCCAGAAAAAATAATTTCAATTTCTTGATCTCAAAGCATCATACTGTATATTCATCAGAGATCCATTTTTGTGGCACTTTTTGTGACAGGAAACAGGTCCCAGCAGTCTGGAGTGAACTTCCCCTCGGTCATCCTCAGTAGTGTTTGCTTGCTGAAGCAGTGTTCTCAGTGTTCTTGTTTGACATTTCTGCCCAGGTTGTACCAGCTGTCGAAGGCAGGGAAGCTGTGTGTTCCAGCGATGAATGTGAATGACTCTGTAACCAAACAGAAATTTGACAATCTGTACTGCTGCAGGGAGTCCATCTTGGATGGGTAAGTGTTACTGCAGAGTTTGCGATTTTTAATGATTGTTTTCTGGGTCTCCAAGCTCATTAGGGGAGTTTATTTCAGTCTTATCCAGTATTCTTTTTAAACCTTCTATGGTCCATTTCCTTTACATTTGCCCACACTAAAACAGGTTCTGTTTTCATCTGCGAGCTGTAACCTATTTTTTTTTCTCTGCTCAGTCTGAAAAGAACAACAGACGTGATGTTCGGAGGCAAGCAGGTCGTGGTGTGTGGATATGGAGAGGTAAATGCATGTTTTCACCTGATTCAGTCCATTCAATCTGATTTGTGACAGTAAACCATGTTGTCTTACATTTAATCACTGTATTTGAATGCAAGAGTGTGTTTATCCAGTCCTATGATATTACAATATAATCCTAGTGAACTACCTATTTTTGTACATTTAAACACAGGTCCGCTAACACGTTTGATATACCAAGTCCATGCTTGCATCTTGCCACTTTTCATTTTGAACACCTGCTGGGCATACGGATGTTGGAAAGAAAGCCTTAATTGACAGATTTAGTTTGGCCCTATCGGCAACTGTACATTTAGCTCTTAAACGTGTAATATGTTCTGAACCTTTTATTGCCTTCAGAGCTAAATGCCTCTCATTAACACCGGGTAACACTTAATGCTCTTTCAGAGTTGATTTAATGAGCTGGTGGAATTTTGAACTCAGTGGTTGTGCTTTTTTGCTGTTCTTATCCCAGATCTCCTATGATGCATTTGATAGATGCCATGTTAATGGCCTGCTTGTTCTAAATTAGGACATTTAAATCCTTCTGCGGGGACAGCAGTGCCCAGTGCTACATTGTTGTTTCCAACATTAAAACCTTTGTTCACTGAACTTTTATTTAAATATTCAACTCATTTGCTTATTTTATGCAAAGAGATTTTCTACATCTTTCTTTTTTTCAGTTTATGTGGGGATCCAAATCTCAAGGTTATGGAATTCCATAGATTGATGTTTAAAACCCAATTTGTAATTAGCTGGGGAAAGAGTGTAAAGAGAGCCACTAGATGGCAACATATAATCTAATGATTGCAGATAGCGCTGCCCTAGTTGTAATTTCACATTTTTGCTTTAGATTTTAATATGAATTGTACTTTAATTGCTTTAGTAGCTTCTGCAATAGTACTGAAATTCCAATATATTCAGATACCTTATTGATATATTATTATAATTATTATATATTAGAATTTGGAAAGCTGCCAGTGAAATTCAAGTGACTTGAATTCACATCCTTGTGTTCCCTCTTTGTTTTTGCAGGTGGGCAAGGGGTGCTGTGCAGCTCTGAAGGCCATGGGCTCCATAGTGTACGTCACAGAGATTGACCCCATCTGTGCCCTGCAGGCCTGGTAAGTACACAGCTCAGCTCACAGAACTGGGAGGGCCTGTATGAAGGTCACCTGAGGGAGTGGGGCGTACAGAGCTGATGGGCAATCGGTATTTCCTTAGTGCAGCCAGCCATTGCAGAGGCTGTTCTCAGTCTTTCTACTGACTTGCAGTGCCGAAGAACGGTGGAGGTTAAGTTTTAAGGACGCCACACAATGTGGACCACTACCGTAGATGTTCTTTGACACGGATCACCGTTTTTTACGAGACGTCGTTCACAAGCAGACCTCTGTGCCCATGCTCTGTTGATCTTGAGAGCCTGTTTTGGTTCAGGAAGATAAGAGACTAGTCCTAAACTGGGCTCCGGCGTCAGAAAGACCACACATAAGAAACCATCCTAGGCCCGTCGTGCTCATTAAGTTGGATTTCTCTGCACTCCCATAGCTAGTACTGGTTATACTGGCAATACATTCTCCCTTAACATGTATTTGGGAGGTGAGGGGAAATGGAAACACCACAGAAAGAGCCCACATGAACATGCAAACTCCGTGCAGACAGTTACCCAACCTGAAATCAAAATTGGGGATCCTAGAGTTGTGAATTGCTTGTTGCCATGCCACCTCTAAATCTGCACATTCATTCATGTGGAGTTGAACCTGAATAGTACGATTTAATTTCTCAACGGGACTCCTGTGGAGGATTTCGCCGTTGGTTCTGACTTGTAGACAGGGAATGGGCTCTGATGGGGACAAATGAAAAGAATGAAAGAGTAGGCAGCACATACGTTTTGTGGAAGTGTTCGGATTTTCTTTATAATGTTAATATTTGAATTAATTTCCTCTGCGGTGAGAGCAGCCATTGAACGAACCGTACGTGTGTTTTATTTTCTAGTTTGTGCACTAAATGTATTTTGCACTTTCTTCTTTCAGCATGGATGGATTCAGACTGGTGAAGCTTAACGAAGTCATTAGACAAGTGGACATTGTAATAACTTGCACAGGTATATTCAATAGTCAGATTTCAACTGCTACACCAAGTGATGTTTTTGTAATGTACCTTACCTCATTAATAAGTCTTACAGTATATTGAACATTTAACTGTGAATGTGTATACAGATTTAAAAAACTACTACATAAGCATATTTGTTGTAATTTCCCCTTTTAGCAATTACAATTTACAGTTCTGAATGAATAGATGTTTTATTTGTACTGTATCTCTTTTCCCACAACAGGAACTAGTTATATGCTGTAAATTTAGTTTAGATTTTTTTTCTTGTGGAAAAATGGTTCTCAGTTCAGCACTGCAGCACTGTGCCATTCCCTTACAGGATTTGCTTGTGTATTCTCAAAGGTGAAAGCTGTGCTCCAAATGGGAATAGCACATGAGTGAAATAGCATAATGAATGAAAAGTAAGAATTGCTTTTAAGGGCAATGACTTCCACGGTGTTGCAGATCAGTCTAATCTAGCAGAGGTTAATTACCACCGGGATTTCATTCATCCCTACTTAATTAAGGCTGTTTACACGCAAGTTACTTTTTAAACAGCCATTACTTGGACAGGCAAAACCAAATGTAGATAACGGAAAGAAAAAGTTCGTCCCAAATACAGCAGTCGGTCCTCTGAGCTAAAGCGCTTTGTGGTATGAAGTTGCAGACGGAGAGACGACAAGATTGGCAGAAGAGCAGATCCCTTGCATTGAAAGTGAGCTTTGCAGCAGATGGCAAGTGTTGACAAGACCTCATGGTTTTAAAATGCCCAGAAATCCAAATCGAATTTGCCAGTAGGATAGAGTTAGCCTGTATCACACACCAGCATTGCCGCATGACGTGGTAAGGCCTTAAAAACATTATCTCTAACAGACTATAACGGGCAATTTCATTTTCATTATTACAGGTAATAAAAATGTTGTGGTAAGAGAATACTTGGACCGCATGAAAAATGGCTGCATCGTCTGCAACATGGGCCATTCCAATACTGAGATTGATGTGGTAAGGACTGACTCCTCCAGCCCCTCTGTGATCCTGCCCCTTGATATTCTTGAGCTTGTTGTTAGGCTGTGTGCTTTTTGCTGCACACAAAACACCATAATAGAAAAGCAACCTTTTAACCTAAAGTTCTTGTATACATTTTGTCTACTGAACTATCCATAGTATAGGAGCGTTTTGCAATTGGAAATGCTTGTCATCTTGATATCATTCCCGTTATCATATGCAGTGCATTAACACTTGCAAGTTCAGTTTTTACAGAACATGCAAGCATTTGCATTCCACACCTTTGTTTCAAAAGCACAAAACAGGCACCTCGTCCACTGTGCCTTAAATGATTTGAAGCAGCTTTAATGTTCCGATTAATCTGAACTTGTGCACTGGCATGAAGTAAATTGTTAACTCATTAACAGCATGGCTGTAAATGATAAATCTCTCCAACCATATAAAACACTCGTCAGAGTCATCTTCAAACAATTTCGAAGGCAAGGGTTTTATTAGGGTACTTTGTGTCCAAAAAACCTAGCCTAGTCATTACTGAAGCAGCGCAGGCAGCAAGATGACAATGCGTGATTTTACAATGCCAAGCTGAAGAATTCGTATTTGAATTTAGTTACTTTCTGATTTTAATAAATTAAGAGGCGTTAAAAATGCAACAGATGCTATTGGTTGCTGTGTTCATTTATTGCATTAACAGCTCTCAGTATATTACTAATATATACACATACATCATTGATATTGAATATTAATTGGATATTCACGTTTATTGAATTTGTTTCAGCGGTTATGCATCTTGGCTGCTTCCCTGTGAGGCTGAGTTTTCTCATTTAGATTTGTCAATGGTTTTGTTACACCCATGTGATTTGGAAGAGCCAGCTGTGTGAGTTTCACCTCTCGTTTCCCAGCTGCGCACAAGGGAGAATGAGGCAGTGTGGGGAAGCTCCTCCCGCCCGACCACCCTCACCTGTGTGAGTGCCTGGGGGCCATGTCCGATTGGTCCACGTGGTTCCTAATGCCCCAGTATAGTGACGAGGACACTATACTGTAAACAGGCACCGTCCTTCGGATGAGACGTAAAACCGAGGTCCTGACTCTCTGTGGTCATTAAAAATCCCAGGGCATTACTTGAAAAGAGTTGGGGTGTAACCCCGGCGTCCTGGCCAAATTTCCCATTGGCCCTTACCAATCATGGCCTCCTAATAATCCCCAGCTATGAATTGGCTTCATTACTCTCTGCTCTCCTCCCCACTGATAGCTGATGTGTGGTGAGCGTTCTGGCGCACTATGGCTGCCGTTGCATCATCCAGGTGGATGCTGCACATTGGTGGTGGTGGAGGGGAGACCCCATTACCTGTAAAGTGCTTTGAGTGGAGTGTCCAGAAAAGCACTATATAAGTGTAAGCTATTATTATTATTATTATTATTATTATTATTATTATTATTAATAATAATAATAATCCCACCCTCCCCTCTCAGGGCTCGGCCAATGGCGCGCCACTGTTAGGGGAATCCCGGTCACAGCCAGTCAGCTAGTGACATGACCCTGGCTCGAACCCTGGATCATCGAGCACAGCCTTTGCTCATGATTGTGGGTTGAGCAGCTCAGGAGGCCCAGATGTATCGCATCGTAGATCACTTTAAAAATATTTCATTTATAAATAAGAATCATCTGTATCTGTATTCTGGCGACGCGGTGCAGATTTAGAAAACGTTTGAAAAGATTTTTTTTTTTACGATGCTTTTGCACGATATCAAAACCAAGTGCTCCGCAACAGATGCAATAGTGCGCCTCCTTCCTATATCGCATTCCTCCTCGCTGTTAGCGTGCAGCTCGTGGCTCCCACACGGCCTGGCCTGGCTGCGTTTCCGGGTGGCACTGCTTGAGCTCTGTGCTTTAACGCGCCCCTGGGGCCTGTGTTTCAGGCGAGCCTGCGCACCCCCGAGCTGACATGGGAGCGGGTCAGATCGCAGGTGGATCACGTCATCTGGCCCGATGGAAAAAGAATAGTCCTGCTCGCTGAGGTGAGAGCTTTGGTCTTCAGCAGCGGATACCGTACACCCAGAACGACAGTACCCCAGAATGGGGAGTGCTCACCATGTTCATGCCGTTGTTTTATCTACCTCGCTGTTTCCAGTTGCTGATGAAGATGCATTATTTGCAGTATTGTTTGACAAACATGTGCTGAGCATCTGTAGTGAGATGCTTGTGAGCGTGACCCCCTGCAGGGATGATGCATCTTCAGTTTGTAAACCATTACGGTCTTTGACATAATCAATATATCTCATAATCGACATTGACCTCCCTATTATCTTTGGCAGCATGGGGGGTCACTCTCTTATCTCTTATCCCTACTTATCTAAGGACTTGTTATATTATAAATGTGCTGAGTTATAAAGGCAGCACACTCATTACCGATTGGTCGTTATAGATACCCTTCTCCATTCCAATACAGTAGTCTGGCTATAGTAACTTTCTGTTAAGGGGGTTTTCCTCATCTTGGAGGATATAAATTCTTAATGTTATATAGTGTAAGATGATAAATTTAAAGGGATTACTAAACACTATTCTGGTCCTGTCTTTTACTTGAAAATTGTAGATGGTTTTAAAATGTAAGCCCTTTTATGTGTACCACTTGAAACTACAGTCTTGGCAGTTTATCTCGTGTTTTAAATGAAACTGTCAGAACCAGGTAGCAGATCACAGAAGAGCAGTCTGCTGATTGTTTTGTGTTGTGGGAGAACCCTTGGAGAACTGGGGGTCTCTAAGAGGAGAGGAGCTGTCTGGCAGCAGGTTGTGATTGTGTGTCTGTTGCTCCACAGGGCCGACTTCTCAATCTGAGCTGCTCCACAGTCCCCACCTTTGTGCTGTCGATTACCGCAACCACCCAGGTACGGAACGGCATTCTGGGGAGGGTTGGCTCTGGGCCCGAGAGAGGATTTGTGTTCACCTCACCTCCCAACGCCTCATGGTTGTGTTAAATACCAGCCAACTGTGCTGAGGAAATTCTCTCAGTAGACTGCTGATACTTGATGGCACAGTAACTAGGGATTGAGAGGCTGGGCTGTTTTTTTTTCAAACTGCTGCTCTCTGTCTCCCAGGCACTGGCTTTAATAGAGCTTTACAATGCTCCTGAGGGTCGCTACAAGCAAGACGTCTACTTGCTGCCAAAGAAAATGGGTAAGATCGTTTTTAAAATCTTTAATGCTTTTCTTTAGAGCTACTGTATATCACGAAGTGCTATATTTCTGTGGATACAAATTGATTTTTAAGTGGACTGAAAAGTAATCCCTAATTTTTTAAATTCTAAAGTCTGAATATTGTATAATAACCGTGTGGTGGATTAAGGTGAAAGGAGGTTAACGTATAAGAGGTTACTTGTCTGTTTTAGGTCAAAATGTTATCATTTTCTAAAACTTAGTTCTGTCTTCAAAGTTTTTTCTTTCCTATTTATATTTCTTTGTGAAATACACACTTCTCTCCAGACAGATCTAGGGTATTTTTTCTTATGGAGTAGAGACAGTAGACACAAGGTCACAGTGCTGCCCATAGGGTACAGTTTCAGGATGATTACCAGGGCACGTTTTTCTGTGTGGAATCAGCACTACAGGCTTCACTAAAGGGAACATACGCACTGAGACTGAAGATCTAATGTTTCAGCTCTGCCTGTCTTTGTGAAATATTCAGTGTGTCAGTCGCTGGCAACAGTACTGTGGCTTTTCAGCCTCGTGTGTTTTCCGTTACTGGAATAAATGAGCAGAGAATATAGGTCAGGCCGTCATGAGCACACTTTCACTGTCTGTGACATGGGCGGTAGAAGGCAAACAAGCACAATTTAAATTTAGCAAGCTTGACAGTGTTGGTGGTCTTTAAGAATTTTTCTGTTTCTGTTTTATGAATTGTCTTGACTTGAGTATATGTTAATATAGAGCTTCAAGATGGAAATCACAAAAGGCAACATTTTCAGACTTTGCTATCAAAATGCAATGATGGTGAATGTGAACATTTTCCTACCAGGAATTGGGAGTTCACTGTTACACCTTAAATAAATCCCTGATCCTTAATGCCAGAGATATTAGGTGTGAAAGGTTTATGAGGGGGAACTGATACATTCATTCTAAATCCTCAAAAGAATTTGAAAACAGTGCAGTGGACTACTTTAGAATGAACGGGGAAAAACATGAGCGTTTAAAACAAAGAACAGGAGGCACTTCTTTACCAAAAGGGTTGTGGGAGTCTGGAACTCGCTATTCTTCCATGTGGTTGAAGCCGATAAGCTTGGATTCTTCCAAGACATAGCTGGATGAGGTCCTGGGATCAATTAGCCGCTGACAGCTAAACAAGCCAGATGGGCCTCCTCTCTTCTGTAACCATTTTTGTGTTCATAGAGCCAGCTGAAGGGTAATGAAGGGAATTTTCATGCTGAATTGGAGAGCACTGTAGGCTGTGCCCTGCTGTTTCATTAGGGAGTCTACAGTCTTTGTCTTTAAAGAACAGCACATTTCATTCCAGGACCCGTTTTCCACACCTGATTTGCTTAATCACTTTTAAATCGTTTACTGTGTGTTGTTTCTTGATAGTTCTTGATAATTTAGGCTTGATGAGTGCTTGAACATCTTTATCTCCTCCAGATGAATATGTAGCAAGTCTTCACCTTCCCACATTTGATGCACACCTTACCGAACTGACTGATGAGCAAGCAAAATACCTGGGTTTGAACAAAAATGGCCCATTCAAGCCAAATTACTATAGGTAAGAACATACACTTTGCTCCCATCCATAATGAATATGAGTAAACGAGTGGCTTCTCTGATTAGTGGAATCTTTTTCCATCTAAAGATGAGTCCTTACTGAGAGGTTGTCATGTAACTAGCCTGAACTGTATAATGAACAACGACAGCAGGCCTCAAAAGGCAGCATCCAGTCAGTGAACATCAGCAGCCAACACATTTGTGGTCATTAAAGATTCAGTGCGACTCACTGGAGAACAACAGTAGCACCCCAGGTGCTCTGGCGGAGGTCTGTGAGGGCAGCTCCGCAGAACTTGGGCAACCTGGATGGATTTAAAACTAGGCAACAAGGAGAAATCTAGTTTCTGTAGCTTATGGAAAAATGATTTCTGAAAATACATATTTTTAAAAAACACTGCTGTAGCTTTACTCAAAACCTGAAGTACTTCTCTGGTACTTGGGTGCATACTCACTTTATTATCCCTGATGGGTGATGCGCTTTGCAGACATCATAGATAACACTTTTTAACACAACACAAATCCATCAACACATAAACACGTACATGCATGAGATTTAAAAACAAGCCAGGAGGTTTAAGTAATCCTCTGCGTTCTTGTATTTTTGAGAAGTAAAATCCAAATGCCATGCCAATGAATTGCGATAGTTATTTTATACTACATCTGCTGTCTAAAAGATACTTGTAGATCACTTTGATATTAATTTTGTGCAACTTGTAACTTGTATTATGCCATGCTGTCTTGTTTTTTAAGGTATTAACCTACCGTAATAAGGAAATGAAAAGTATCAGACCGCAGCAACCGTACCGACCAAGATGAGACGACAAGTCGAAACGTTTCCGCGTTACCACTCAGGATTGAGACGATCCTGTTTTAAAAGCTGGACTCGACGACGTACCAGACAGCACACTGCAGATTTTATTTATTTAATAAGAATATTGTACTCTAACCTCTTTGAGCTGCTCCAGCCGCTGTCAGTTTTTTGGAATGACAAGGAGGTTACATCATTTCATTTTCTCTTCTGTACCTTGTCAGTTGTAAGTAATCCATTAGAGACGTTGTTGTAAAACTAAAAGAGATATATTCAAAAGAAAAACAAAAATGTTTGAGTGATGCTTTATGAATATATATGATGCACATGTTTGTTTTATCATCTTTATTTTTTCTATTTGTGATTTCTTTTTCCCAAGTGGTCGTGGGAGCAGGGATATTCTGGGGAGATTTGGGCCTGGGTCCAATCATATCGTCTTTACCACAGATCACACGACTCAGATCTTGTGTTTACAAAGCTTTTGCTGTTTAGTTCCCATGACAACAAGCAAAGTTAGCACAAGTAAATCGACTAATACTGTACTTATCACTGGGGCTTGCTTTTTTCTGCCTCTGTAAATCAAACACTATGTGTGAAACGTCACCATGGACAGTACAACACTACAGAGCTGCACTGATAGGCTGTCTTAAGACACTTTTAGCTTGGCCATTTTAATGAATCCAGTGTTATTAAATAATATTTTTAAATAATGCTTCAGCCAAGGTAATTAAAAAAACAAGTCAAAAGGAGGAGCAAATGGATTTGAGTTTATAGGATGATGTTTTAAGTTGAGAAATTAAATGAAGGTGATGTATTCTTGCTTTGTTAAAATAACTTTTATATGGACTTTACATCTTCTTTCATGGTTTTTCCACCAGAAATGTACCTTCCTTATTAAAGGAACAAATTCTTATTTTCCTTGAAATAAGTATCAAATTATTTGTAGCTTCAAATGTATTCCCAGGTCTTTCCTTCTGTCTCATCAATCGGAGAACCTTCTGACCACAGTTAGATCACTTGTGCACGCTCATTCAGTAAGTGTTTTAATGGACTCTGAAAAAACGGAAACAAATCAACATGCTCTGGCCTATATGGGATCATATTAATAAAGCCATAACTAATGTTTAACGTAAAATAGGGTTCCAGTTTCCCTGTGTTCATTTTATTTTTTTTAACGATTCAGCACTTAAGTGTTAGAAACGGTTTTGAAACAAGGCCTCTCTGCTTCTTTTTGAGTAGAAGCTGTGGGATATTTTTGGTATTTTAGGCTGAAGTAATACTATTTCCCCATTTAATAGGGAAATATGGCCTAAAGGTGGTGGATGCTATGAGAATCGAGGGGGTATAGAACATATCTCACACCCAATGGCAGTTTTGGACAAGTTGCATATTGTAAAGACACAATACGCAATACAAAAAAACTTGTCATGAACAAATACCACAGCTCACATGCTGAGAGTTGGGGAATCTCTCTGAAGCACTCTCTTATAGCATCTTGTCCAAGCAAAATCTCATCTTTCTGTGATCGGTTCAGAATATTAGCTGTAAACAGCTAGCATGTTCAATTTATGATCCATGTATTATACATTTTGTCTTGTGTGTATCATTAATACATTAAATTTAAAAAAACTATATGCATAAAATAACATGTATTACCAGCAGCAAGGCATGCTGCCCCTCTACTGTAAACCTCCAGTTTTGTTTTTTCAATTTTATTAGCAATTTGCTTGTGCTAATTTCAGAAATGTCCTTCATGCAATTGATAATTGTTTGCATCTTAATACCCATTGTCTTAAGTTTTGTTATGATTTTTACATTACTGTATGTAGTTGTCTCCAGTTTTCTTAACTTTTATTTGCTGAAGTTGTCTCAGGATCATTGCTTGTGCATTACGGTGGAGTCATTGGGAAGGTTTTATTAACATTATATGGGAGAGGGTAACACCAGCATCTCAGATAGGTGATAAACTCTAAAAGAAATTAACTAAAATCGCATACCTGTATTTATCGTTGTAAATCTTCAGTACAAAAAAAAACAAAATCTGAGATTTTAAGTTGTCTGAACAATGTTTTAAATATTGCAAGTGATTGTAGTAGATGAGCAATAATGAATCTGTAATGTTAAAAAAATAAAGTGTAAAAAATTATTCTCTGTATCACTCTGGAAGTATATACATATAAATTAAGAAATACTTTAGATTAAACACTAAATAATGTTTTTCTTTTCTTTCCAAAAGAAGTAGGTGTCTGTGTAGTTTTGTTTTCCTGTTACTCGTTTCATTCAAAGGACCTTTCTGTTCTGTCCTGCAGTGTTTTCAGTGAAGGATTCTTTGTAGATTACTACTCCAACCAGAATCTCTTCAAAAAGATGCCTCAGTCCCAGCTGGCAAGAAACATTAAGCTGAAAACCATCCGAAAGCCTACTGGGGACATGTTGTGTGTTGGAGTATTTACATTCTAGATAAAATTCACAGTCTTATTTTCTTACACTTAGCGTTGAAGAGTTTTTTTTTAGGAGCTTCTTTGATAGAACAGATAAGATAGAAGATTACATTCTATTCTAAGCAGCATAAACACCTAGCAGGAAATAAAGACGAGCACAAAATCACATAATATAAAGCAGCAGGCGATAGTGTTGCTTTTAAAGGAGTTGGTGAATAATGCAATGAGCAGTACTGGAATGCGCCTAGCAACACACATCACTGACGCAATTACACCCCTGACCAAAGAACAAAACTGCAACAACTGAGAATGAGGAATCTGCAGTTCAAATTAAAGGGAATTGATTAAACGCTTTTCTGATATTTTCTGTTTTTTTCCATTCTTTAACAACTCCCAGAAGGGGAAAAATATATTCCCATTTCATGAATAAATTAAATTTACTACTTGACAATCAGCTATTCATGTCATCATCCTTTCAGAAAATGAGTGCAGGTAGTTGACGAAAATAGCTCTGCTTCAATTTAATTACATAATCTGTGTAATTAGTATAATGTTTCAATTGATTGCACTGTTGCAAAGTCCTTTCTGTGCCCCGTGAAAGTAACACATCATGACAGTGGACTGTGTTGTGCAAAGTAATAACATGCTGTGGTAAGGTCTGAGATACAACTACTGTCAGGTACTGGAGCTGTTCAGATATCTGTTCAAAACAATTAAATACTTGTGGGTAAAATTAGTTTTGAAAATCACACAGTTGCATTTTTTCAACTGACACCGGCCACATTTTACACTTTTGTATTGATCTCTGTATTTTAAGAACAGTAATGTTTAGAAAGTCCCCTGTGCAAGTAAACTGGGGTAAATTATCTTGATTTCTTAGTTGCTAGCAGCGGTGGCTAATTTTTTGTTTCAAGCATTGTAAGAACAAGTTACCCAGCCCATGGTGTTGAAGCTGAAGCCCTTGTAGCCTTTTTTTCCACGAAACAACTGGAACAGATTGTTGGATCAGTTGACTGCCAGCTACTAAATAGCTTATATGGACCAAATAGCTTCTTGTTTGTGACCTTTATATTCTTTATGCTTATGGATATCCGAGTAGAGTATCCATTTTGATTGAACTCTCTCAATCAAAGGTGGGCAGGATGGAAGAATGAGGGAAGGATATACAGTAGTTGGGTAAATCGGACAAACGCAAAACTGGATAAGGACTATGTCTGAAAGTGTAAACAGGGCACTGATGGGCTACGAGATAAGATAAGATGACTTTATTGACCATATACAATTTCTTGTATTAGGAATTTGTCTTTTCGCATACCCCAACTTGCTCTCCATGAGACACACAGACAGGGAGAGAAGCTTGGAGTCAGAGCACAGGGTCAGCCATTTATACGGTGCTCCTGAAGCATTTGGGGTTCAGGGGGCCCACAGATTAGGATTCCTCTGCCAGCTGTAGGATACAAACCGACAAACTTCCAGCCAAAGAAACAGGTCCTTGGCCACAGAGCTACCACACCCAATGAATGAGTGCATATTATACGCAGGAATGATAAAACACCCAGGAAACATTTTGATGAAAGTGATAGCATGTCTTGTTAAATGTCTATAGACCTTTGCATGCTTCTCACATTCAGTTGCTTTAAAGCTTGAAATGAACATATTTTGAAGAACTCTCTCTTTTCTTTTCAGGATGGAATAAACTTATTACTTGTTCCTTTGCAGACTACGCTTGCTGATGCAGCTACCCACCTTAAATACTTTGAAGTAGCAATTGATGTTACATACCCCACTCATTCCCAGCTAAAGGAAAGATAATAATAATTGCTTACACTTATATAGCGCTTTTCTGGACACTCCACTCAAAGCACTTTACAGGTAATGGGGACTCCCCTCCACCACAACCAATGTGCAGCATCCATAGTGCGCCAGTACACTCACCACACATCAGCTATCAGTGGGGAGGAGAGCAGAGTAATGAAGGCAATTCATAGATGGGGATTATTAGGAGGCGATGATTGGTAAGGGCCAATGGGAAATTTGGCCAGGACGCCAGGGTTACACCCTTACTCTTTTCGAGAAGCGCCCTGGGATTTTTAATGACCACAGAGAGTCAGGACCTCGGTTTTACATCTCATCCGAAGGAAAGCACCTGTTTACAGTATAGTGTTCCTGTCACTATACTGGGGCATTAGGACCTACATGGACCACAGGGTGAGCGCCCCCTGCTGGCCCCACTAACACCTCTTCCAGCAGCAGCCTTAGTTTTTCCCAGGAGGTCTAAGGAAGTTTCTAAACAACTCTGGGATAAAAGTATAAAAATATTCAAAGATGAATGGGTAAGACTTGAATCCTACTATGAATTTGAAAATGACTTGAAAATGACTTTCCACAAGCAATCCCCATGTAACTTCAGAGTGCTTGAGCAAATTTGCCAGGACAAATGGACTAAGTCTCCGTCAAGTGTTCGTCCCACAACACCTGGGCACAAATCCAGGTCTCCGGCATAATGCAACCAGGAACCAGCCGAGTGAGCTAAAGGAGACCTCCCCCAGCCCAGGCGGCTGACCTACCTGCTATGCGCAGGGAGGGCGATGACGTCACTGTGCCCAAACTAGCTCTGCTACAGAAGCATGTGTGCAAAGTTGGTAGAGGCCCACAAATAGATTTGAGGCTTTTGACCTCCAAATGGAGCTCTCACCAAATATTGAGTTCTCAGGTCGGTATACGTTTGCAACCAACATATTTCAATTTTTTTCTTTTATTTTTGCTGATGTTTACTGTGACGTGTCTTGCTTTAGAATTTAGTTTGACCGTTTAGGTTTATTATTAAAATATTAAGTTTAAAAAGACCCATGGGAAGGGTCTGAATACTTCTGCAAAGTACTGTTCATGCAACCAGTTCTGACATTTCAGAAGAAGCAATTGAAAACTATGAAAGTAAGCAGTCATTGATCGACAGCAAAAATAGGCAATGATAGTACTAGGCAACTGGAACAGCAAGACAGGCAAAGGAAGTAGTAAATATGGAGAGATATAGAATAGGAGAAATGGAAGAAGCTAAAAAAAACACATTTTTCTTGGATCACCTAAAGTTATAATGTCCCTGTAGCAACGCTCTGTGCGAATGAAATTTCATTACACAGACCTGACGGTCCTACGTTGGGATACTCGGTGTGTAAATTAAACATCATTATACAGAACTGACAGTCCTACCTTGGGATATTCTCTGTGCGAATGAAACTTCATTACATAGAGCTGGTGGTCCCTGTGGAGCCTCCCTTTTCAATGAGGTTCTCTCTGTTATTGAGATTCCCCGCGCCTGTCACAGAACCCTGGGGAGATATTTTGAGACAGATGGCCGTCATTTTTAGGCCAACTTCTTGCCTCAGGTTAAAGTCACAAACTATGCAAAATGTAGCGCATTCAGAGAAGAGAGAAAACCCTGTGACACAAATGCTGTTCCAGGCACTGTGTTAATTTACGATTGCAACATTTCTTTGGTTCATATGAGCAGTCCCAGAGAACAGGAATGACAGGGAGGCAGGAACATGATGTGTGTCAACCTTGTTTTTTCTTGTCAGTTCTCGAAGCAATTCACAATTCATGCCATTTAAACTTAGTGTCAGAATCCAAGATAGTGAATTGGAAATAAATCATGATTTTCAATATGTTTTTTTATGATTTGAAATAATTTGATTTAAGAAAGTTAAGTTGAAACTTTTTCTCAGAATAAATTGAAGAAATACTTTTCTTCCAGTTTAACATCTTAATACAATCAGCTTCAACAATGTGCTATTGTTCAAAGGAATCTGAAACAATATATTGCATCACTCTGCTGTAATTTCTTCCTGTAAGTTTCTCAAGCTGTAGCTCAATTACTCAATTGCAGATACTTGCATATATTGTGCTGTGTGTTATTACTGTTATGTATTCTGCTGGGTGTTATTTCCACCTATGTGGAAAACCACTATGTTAAAACCAAGCCTGCCCTTCTCCCTTAGAGAGTCTGATGTTTCACTCATACCATCAAAAAGACACAGCAACTCGTATTGACAGTCAAAACATCCAAATCCAAATAATAAAGAGAACACTAAGATCTGAATAACTGGGATCAAGGTATAAAGCATATTTGAATATAGAGGTATTTGAGTTGCCATAAAGGACAATGATGGGGACCACACTGGAGAAATAAAATGCAGCTATTTCTGCCAATTCCCCTCAGTTTAGCTCACTTTGTGCTGACTCCACTCCAAAGTCGTACAAAAGTAGTTACTGATTTGAAGATCTTTGAAGACATCGCTACTGCATATCTACAAACATTTGTGCATATTAAGTGTTTTCAAACCCTGACCTTAAAAGTGACCAAACCTGACCAAAACCATAACCATAAAATATGTTCTAAGAAAGTTAGAAAAGGTTGTTGTTTAAAATGTACCAGAGTACACTGTGTTCATTCATGAGCTGTAAACATCATTAACCAATATACTGTTCTGTAACCTGTAATGGTTGACTTCGAGCCATGCAGCGTACTGCATTTAATCAGATAGTCCTCCTGTTTCTAAGCCACTTTTTCTCTCTATATATATATATCTGAAGAAGAAATTGTAACTAATTTTAAATAAATTGGGACATCCAGACTTAAGAAAAAGTCTTCAGTAATTGTGTTTTCTTGTTTAAGACAATGTGGGGAAGCTATATGAGAGGTAAA